ATGGAGCCTGCAACCCGGACATGAGCTCTGATGGGGACCCCACAATTCTCCCAAAATGGTGGTGTCTCACTGAACTCAACCTCCTGCTTTTCAAGTCAGGAGCCATACTCCTAGAGAGAAGGAAAGCTAACAACAAAAACACCTTTCCTTGAAAAAAAGTGAGAAACTTGGAACCCGATCTCAGTTTGCGTCTCAGCTCCTCCACTCACGAACCTGGTGGTCTGAAGAGTGTTCTTTAACCTCTCCAGGTCTCACGTTCCTGCATCACCTGGGGAGAGTCATGCCCATCCTCCTACCAGATCTGGAGCTTAAATGAGATGATGCAAATGAAAGGGCCTTCTCGCTTGCCTATGGTCCCAAGGGCTGAGTCAACGGAGCGGATCTGACGGTGGGTTTAGGGCACAGGGAACTGGCAGTTTTGCCTCAAGGGACTTGGAAGGGGCACAGAAAAGGTCAACCGATCTCGGTGGCACTAAACCCACAACGGGAAGACAGAAATGCAGTGTTTACAATTGTCCTCCTCTGCCCACAATAGGAGCAGTATTTAATTCCATTTGTCACTATTTATGCCTTTTCGTGGTGTTCTGGCAAGAGGAATAACGAATAAAGCACTGGATGTAGGGCACCTCGACTGTGCGACCTTGGGCTCCCTTTAATTCTTCGCGCTTCAATTTTTCTCATTTATAAAATGAGAATCAAACTTCCTGCCTTAACCATTCACCCAGTGTTTGTGAGGATCCAATTCGAACGTATGTTCGCGGAACTCCTCCGTAAGCTCCAGAGAGCCTGGCAACTATTTTCACCATCAACTAGGCGTCCCTGCTTGCTTGGTTACTCTTTTAGCCTCGACCATTATTAACGTTGTGGTTTATAATCACAGAAATAAATGAAATCCTATGGTCATTTCTAGCACCAGATTCTCGAGCCCCACCCAAACGCACAGCCTAGCCGCCCGGCTCCGGACAGAAGGAAACAGCCCTTCCCCACCCGCGGGCGGGCCTAGTCCATCAGACCCCACCATTGAAAGTTCCGGAAGCCAATCCCAACAGCTCTCTTGCAACGCCCCGCCCCTTAGAGCTGAGAAACATTATGGCGGCCCGGAAGAACTGCAGGGGCGTAAGCCAATCACTGCAGAGGGCAGCCCGCATCCGGCAAGGCTCAGAGGCGGGGTCATCGGTCAAGATCGACAGCCAAAGCAGCCAATAGAGTTATCGAAAACTGGGAAGGGGCGGGTGCCGGGAGCTCACAGAGCGGTTAAGGCCCTTGAGCCCCGGGCCCAAGGACCCGGCTCGGACTACAAGTCTTCCCTTTATTCACCCCAAAGCTCTCCAACCCACGGTTCCAGACCGGCCGCCCGGCCTGCGGACTATGGGTGGGGGTAGAAAGGAGGCAGCGGTGGTTGAACCCGCCTGACAGGCCTGGCCAGTGACAAAGAGCTGGCGGCATCGGGAAGCGATCCCTTCGGGGAGGACAGCAGAAGTCCCTTTAGAGATAGGAAAGATGCAACTCACGTTGTCGATCACAACAGGCTGGTTGGCGATAACATCGTAGGACTCCATGGCAGAGGAATCTCTACCTCCGAGGAAGGAACTGCCTGCCCGGTCCGCTGCTAGTGCCACTGACACGCATGCGCAGACTAGCCGCCGGTGCAGGGCGAAGAGGGAGCGGCCCGATCTTGCCTCTGAAGAACTACAACCCCCAGCATGCCTTGCACCTAAGGTTAGCGGGCCAGGCAGTTTCCGAGCCACACCTAGTTTTAAGAGATGGAGTGACACAGTACCCTGGGTTTTGTAGTCTCCATGGGTAAATAGAAGGGAAGCAGATTTTTTCCCTTTTGTTTAAATTTATTGGGGAGACCAAAATTATACAAGTTTCAGGGGCACAATCCTACAACACGTCATCTGTACATTGTATTGTGTGTTCACCACCCCAAGTCAAGTCTCGTGCATCACCATTTAGCCCTCCTATAACCTCCTCCACCCCCCCCATCACCACACTGCTATCTGTGTCCATGAGTTTTTTCTTTTTTTTCTCAATCCCTCCACACACACCACCCCCCCCTCCCCAGCTGTCAGCCTACTACCGATGAGTCTCTATTTTACTTGTTAGTTCATTTTGTTCATTAGATTCCACATACCCTACATAATAAAAGGCTAATATGCAAATTGTCCCCCAGGGAGTTCCACCAACCAGGAGTTTGACCGCTCGCTATGACGTGAGTTGACCACCAGGGGGTGGCGCAGAATGAAGGAAAGCTCCTATTGGCCCTGATTGCTGGCTAGGCCTACAGATCCTACCTGTGCATGAATTTCATGCACTGGGCCTATAGTGAATAAAATAATACGGCACTTGTCTTTCTCTGACTGGCTTATTTTACTTAGGACTCTCCAGTTCATCCATGCTGTCACAAACGGTAAGATTTCCTTCTTTTTTACTGTCCAGTAGTATTCCACTGTGTAGATGTACCACAGCTTTTTTTTTTTTTTTTTTGTATAGTAAAGGTGGAGATTTATTGAAGGACAAGTACAGACTCCCACATGGGGAGAGGGAAAGAGTCCCACATCATGGACTCCCACGTGGGGAGGGGGAAAAGGGGCCCACTGAGTTTTTTCCCCTATGGTACCACAGCTTTTTATCCACTCATCTACTGATGGAAGCTTGGGCTACTTCCAAATCTTGGCTATTGTAAATAACGCTGCAGTGAACGTAGCGGTGCACATATTCTTTCAAATTAGTGTTTTGGGTTTCTTCAGATAAATTCCCAGAAATAGAATTGCTGGGTCATAAGGCAATTCCATTAAAAAAAAAATGTTATTGTTTTCAGACAGGAAGGAGAGGGAGATAAAAACATCAATGCTGAGAGAGAATCATTGATCGGCTGCTCCTGTATGCCCCCTACTGGGGATCAAGTCCATAACCTGGGCATGTGCCCTTGACCAGAATCGAACCTAGGACCCTTTATTCGGCAGGCTGATGCTCTATCCACTGAGCCAAACCAATTAGGGCTGATTATCATGTTTTTATTTGTTGATTTATTGATGATAGCCATTCCATAAGACATTAATAAATATCTATCACCATCAACACTCTAATAAAAAATTTAATACACATGGGGAAGGACATATTACCAGAACAAAGGAAAATAATTTAAATTGCATAAAAATTGCCTTTTAGAAAAGAAGTACATTTTCTTTTCTTTTTGTATATTTTCCTGGATAGGAGTAAACTTTGCAGCAGGCTAACATTCATTTGTCTGAAGACTAGTACTTGGAAATACTACTATATAATTGACATTGCTAAATGAGAATATAGAGATGAAGAGAAGTTATGTGTCACTGCTTTCAAATGAGCTCAGTACATTTTTCTCTAGATTATTTCCTCCCCTGCTTCAAGTTGCAGGAACCCTTTTAGTCAGTAGCACTGGTCTATCCCTGTCTCGTGGAATTTCTTTAAGATCATTGAGTGGAAGACATTACTTTTTGAAAAGTTATTGTAAACAGGAAAATAATTCCCAAGCTGGTGCCTTAGGAATTAAAAATTCTCTCATTAAGAGAGTCAGAGTAATGGGGAAGGGCAGGCCCATAGTAGATAATGAATACTGGTGTTCCTCAAGGCAATCTGCATATATCTGCCTAAAACACAACAAAGAATAGATTATCATCACTAAAAACATTGATTAAATAATTATCACTTTAAGAATTGATCCCAGTTTACTTAATTATTACTTTCCTGTTTTTTAAACTTTCCTTTTTAAAAATATTTTTTTATTGATTTCAGAGAGGAAGGGAGAGGGATAGAGAGACAGAAACATCAATGATGAGAGAGAATCACTGATTGGCTGCCTCTTGCACACCCACACTGAGGACCAAGCCCGCCACTAGGCATGTGCTCTGACTGGGAATCTAACCGTGACCTCCTGGTTCATAGGATGATGCTCAACCACTGAGCCATGCCCTCAGGCCAATTCTTGTTACTTTCTGACAGAACTCCAAAATAGGTATTTTGACATAGGACCCCTGAATTTGGCAGTGTGTCAGTCAATATGGTCAAAGGACATTCAAAAACATAGGAAACATTTAGATTTATATTCTATTAAAACTAATGTCGCATGGCCCAGAGGGTGTGGCTCTGTGGTTGAATTTTCGACCTATGAACCAGGTCACAGTTAATTCCCAGTCAGAGCACATGCCTGGGTTATGGGCTCTGCCCCCAGTAGGGGGTGTGCAGGAGGCAGCCAATCAATGATTCTCTCTTATTGATGTTTCTCTCTCTCTCTCTCTCCCCCCCCTCCCTTCTCTGAAATCAATTAGAAAAAACACTAATGTTACATGGATGAATGAATCAGTCCACTGCCATATCCTATATAATAAAAGGCTAATATGCAAATCAAAGGGCAGAATGACTGGTCACTATGATGCACACTGACCACCAGGGGGCAGATGCTCAACACAGGAGCTGCCCCCTGGAGGTCAGTGTGCTCCCACAGGGGGAGCCCCGCTCAGCCAGAAGCTGGGCTCAGGGGCTGGCAAGTGGCAGCAGCGGTGGTGGGAGCCTCTCCTGCCTCCACAGCGCTAAGGTTGTCAGACTGACAGCTTAGGCCCAACATCCGCCCCCCGCCCCCACCTCAGGGCTCCCAGACTTGGAGAGGGCGCAGGCTGGGCTGAGGCACCCCCTCTCCCCAGTGCACGAATTTCGTGCATCGGGCCTCTAGTTTATGTTTAAATAAATATGGGTTGCGTGTCAGCAAACCAGTGACAAGTCCTTTGTTGGCGTACTTGCCAGTGCTTTTGTGGGACCCTAGCACCTCCGAAGGATGCCTGCACATCTCTATTTAAACCTGGGTTCCTCCTAACACTAGGGGGAGGCCAAGAGCTTTGGGACGCCTCAAACGCAGGGAGAGGGAGGAGACACCTACTGCCCAGGCACGCCGCTCCGGTGACTGGCACAGACATCAGCTAATGGGATCCGGGCTGGGGCGCGCCGGTGCCCCGCCCCCTCGAGCGGCCCGCGGCCCCCAAGGCACTCTGGCCCGCTCTGCGGCGGCCGCGGCCTGGGCGGACGGTTCGCCGCGCGCAGGCGCGGACCCTGGACCTCGCTGCAGCCCCCAGCGCCTCGGGGAGGTACACCGACGGGGGCCGCCCGCCCGCGCGTCAGTGCGCTCCCGCTCGGCCGTCCTCCCGGGTCCTCCCAGCGCTCGCCGCGCGGGGATGGCGGAGCTGCGGCCTAGCGGCGCCCCCGGCCCCACCGCGCCCCCGGCCCCTGGCCCGACTGCCCCGCCGGCCTTCGCCTCGCTCTTCCCCCCAGGACTGCACGCCATCTACGGAGAGTGCCGCCGCCTTTACCCCGACCAGCCGAACCCGCTCCAGGTCACAGCTATCGTCAAGTACTGGTACGCCCCGGGCCGCGGGAGTCCCGAGCGGCGGGCTGGGGGAGTGTAAGCGCCCGGGGCGAAGTCATTTGCGGGGGAGGGGGCGGAGGAGGAGGAGGAGGAGGAGGGGGAGGATGGTTAAAGCACTTGGAAGAAGGGCTTCCTGCTGGGAGGGAAGGAGTTAAGGCTCAAGTTAGGAATGGGGACAAAGGGGTTAAAGAAGACTGCGGGTAGCGAATGGCTAACGCGGGTGGGGAGGTGGAAGGGTTAACTGGGACTTGGAGAATGGAGTGAATGGGGGTGTGCGCAGGAGCCGAGGGGCATCGATAGGAGAGAGGAACTGTAAACGTGGTGGAAGGAGGGGGCGCCTGGAGGGGGTCATTAGTGGGCGAGGGGAAGCCTGGAGGGGGTTGCGGCTGAACTGGGGCGGGGGCGGGGTGGGGGGCGGGGGTGGGAGTGGGAAGGCGAGGCGGGGTCTGGGGAGCAGTGGGGAGGGCTTCGGAGGCGCGCGGCCGGAGGGGCTGCAGGGCACGGGGCTGCACGGGCTCAGAGGCGGGTCTGGGGAGCCGGGCTCCGCGTTGGGTGAGGAGGGGCGCTGGCTGTGAGCGTTGCGCTGGTGAAGCGAGGAGGAGGAGGAGGAGGAGGAGGAGGAGGAGGAGGAGGAGGGCACCCTTTTGATACTCCTAGTGAGCTCAGACATCCTATCGGTGCAGTGCTTTTGTGTTGGAAGTTCCACCAAACAACTTTTCCCGATAAACTTTGTGCTAACTCCGCACAGTTCCCTCTCGCTCTGCAGCTGCTTTCCTTTAAGACATTGGCGAGGACAGAGGCAGGACCAGGGAGGCCCAGGGTTTGGCTGAGGATCGAAGGGGACCGGAGCACGTACTGACAATGTGGGCCTCGGACAGCGTGGAAGGGAGGCGGTGAGATGTGGAGGCGCTTCCTAGCCGCCAGCTTCAGGATGTAGGCAGCCGTTTCCCAGGGAATCTCTTTAGCGTCTCTGTTGAGGATCAGACCTTTTACAGATGGGCTGGCCTGGGGGTAGGAATGGTCTGTTCTCGTTTCCCATTCCTGTTTCATCCTGCAGCCTCTGGGAACCGTGGGAAAGAAAGAGCCTACCTTCATGATCTTTCTGGACCACAAGTTGACTGCGGGATGGGTTGAATATGTCTGGAACCACATTCTTGCAGGCACTGTGTTAAGATGGCCCCTTCATTGAGTCCTGAAAGATTGTTCAGGCAGCTGCTTGGGGTGTGGCCATAGGGTAGACCTGAAGGGGGAAGTGAGGGGATGTCTTTTCTGGTTGCCTCTCTCTTTCGGTCCGAGTCTCTCTCCTCCAGGACAGTGTCTTCCTCCAGTAATGGCAGAAGGTAGGCTCCATAGGACTGGAACCAGCTCCCTGTGTTGATGGGAGCATGTGAAGAGGCGGACAGCGTGGAGGACCAGCCACCTGCTCCTTAGGGAGGGCTGCGGGGAGCAGCCGGGAGGTGTGGCCAGTGGTACAGTTCTCTCTGGCAAGCAGGCTGCTCTTTGGTTGGGACGAGTGTATGAAGAGAGCTTCCGAATGAAAAGCAGCTCTTGATAACTTAATCCCCATTCTAATTGCACCTCTGTAGTTAAATACGGATTGTGATGAACTTTACTGGATTGTGTCATGAGAAAAGTGGGCCTGGCTCTGCCATGCTGTTTGTTCAGGCCTCATTTGAGTGTAAAGAGAAATTGCTACACAGACTTGGGCAACTGTCTTTGTCTCCAAGTGGCCATGAAGGATAGAGTTGTGTGTAAAAGGTATGGAAGCATAGGCAAAGGACAAAGACTAGTTTGGGCAACTTTTTTTTTTTTTCCCCTGCTGCAAGCTTGTTAACCAGGCAGGACTTATTTTCAGAGATAGACTAAATTCTAATGACGAATAAAGGCAACTGTACAGAATTCTTTGCAATTAGAAATGCTTCCTAGACGTGGAAAAATGTAAGAGGGGACAGCTTGGCAACTAGTTCTTTCTAGGTTTGGAGGATTTTGCATGATTAAGACCCTGAAATTAATTCATCGATGTACCTCACATTTGGGATTCCACTAAGGCCTCTTCAGTTCTCGTAACAGGATGACTGACCGAGGCTGCCTGGGTCTGGCTGTGGCCCAGTGTACCTGGGGGTTCCTTTCCTTGCAACGGAAGGGTGGCTCTTGGCTAGTGGACCCTGGTCAGCAAGGACATTCTGAAAGCTGAGACTTAAGTGAGTAGGGATCAGAAGCAGAGAGGCAGAGCTTGTGCTCTGGGGCTACTCCAGCCCTGCAGCTGCCTTGGGGAGTGAGTCAGGTGTTCAAGGAATTAAGTTGAAGGGTGCTGGGTCCTCGGATAACATCTTTATCTAAGCACAAAACATGAAAATGTTCTACAGACTCATCTGCTTCCCATCAGGTTTCCGAGCAAGTAGAACAGAACTATCTGTGCTTGGGGATGAGGTTCATTTGGTCTGACTCTTGGTCATTCCCTGCAGTTAGAGTTTTAGGGTAAAATCTCTCTCCTTGAGAGTACTTCCTGGGAGACTTGGCCAGAAAGAGGGTTGTGGTGGCGCGGCAGAGGAAGCATGGAATGGTGAATGCAGTTTTGCCACTTGTTGCTGGGTGGACCGAAGCTGAAGGAGGGGTAGGACTGGGGTTCTGCAGCAGGACAGTGGAGCACACGTGGAGCCTGTAGTCACTCCCATCTGCTCTTGGGCTGTGCACTCTCCTAGGGTCCTTTCAGAGTAAGCTGCTCTTTTCTCTCCTCCCTCCCCGACAAGCTCCCCTAAATCCAGCTGGTTGTGGAATTAGTCAAATGATTTTGGCAAAATCTGAGTTAAGGAAAGACAGGGAGATTTGTCCTTTTCCCTAATCCACTCAGTTGAGATTCTAAGCTATTTGTAGCAACTTTCTTACAAGTTTTATAAATAACTTAGCATTTCTTAGCAGAGAATAAGGATTTTTACAAGAGCAAATAATATCCTGGCAAAGAGGATGAAACCAGACCTGCTGGTTTTAAATAGTGCTTTAATTGCATGGTGTTGGCATGCTTGCTGGGATCACACATAGCATGCCTTTTATTTGGTGGTTAGTGTTCCTTTAGCACATGAACCCAGTTGCAAAGCGCACTCCATCAGTGTCCAGCAACGTTTTTGTAGTCTGTGGAACAGTCAGCTGTCCGAGGCAGCTCAAATGCAGAGTGTTTGTGGGCTAAATGCAGACTTCCTTCCACTGATGGTTTCCATTTATTTCATCTGTTTCTCAAGTCTACCAGTTTCCCTATCCATTCTGAAGAAAAGCAGGATTTTTTTTTTTTTTAAAAAGAGCACTAATTGCCCTACTAAAGGGAACCCTTATTGAATTAAATCCTCAGAGTGAGGTAATGACTGAATCTCTTCCTCAACTGCCTTTCTGTTGGAATTATGTGGGAAGTTTAATGTGGTCCTCAGAGGCCCCAAATAATTTAATGTGCCAGTTCTGACTTTGAGATGGTAACCTCCTAGGATCATTTTCCAGATCCTGGAGCTCACAGGGCTCAGCCTGGCTTCTGCTGCAGTTATCTTTATCTGTGCAGAGGTGAGCTAGCCCAAGTTTGGCCTTTGTCACTTGTAGGATAAAAGACCAGCTTTGGGCCATGGCCGGTGTGGCTCAGTTGATAGGAGCATTGTCCTGTACACCAAAAGGTTGTAGGTCCGATTCCCAGACAGGGCACATGCCTAGGTTGCAGGTTCGATCCCTGGCCGGTCAGGGCATGTGCAGGAGGCTACTGACTGATGTCTCTCTCCCCCTCTCCCCCCTCTCTTCCTCTTAATCAATCAATAAAAAATGTCCTTGGGCAAGGATTAAAAAAAATTCCCCAAACAACCAGCTTTGTCTGTGGGGTGCAGGCATGGGTCTGGAGGCATTGGGTTTGTTTACAACAAACTGGAATTAACATAGGGCACATTATAGTCTGTCTCAGAGGCAAGAATGAAGCTGAGCCTCTGCTTCCAGGAACAGTGCCCATTGGGGATGCTAAGGATGGACTTTCAACAGAGGCCAATTGGATTGACTGAAGGACGGACCTCTTGCCTTGAAGCATGACATATTTACAGGCACCATGAAGGAGAGAGAATCCCTGCCAATCCCATTTGGGATTGGTAATTTGAAACAGGAGGAAGCAAAAGGGGCAACCATCCAGTCTGTTTTATTTCTAAAAGAGGTCCTACCTGTTGGGGATAGGAGAAAGGAGTCTGTCGTGCTTGGGGAATTGGGCAACTTCTGGCCACCCATCCCATGGTCTTATCCCAGAGAGGTGTGGCCTCCCGTCAGTCATTGTTCAGCCCAGGCTCCTTCAGTTTGGGGCCCTTTAGGTTTGTAAGACATCCCTTAGCTTCACACTGTCTGCTTTCAGGTTCACACTAACAACCCCGTGTTTTGTCTTTTGCAGGTTGGGTGGCCCAGACCCCTTGGATTATGTTAGCATGTACAGGAACGTGGGGAGCCCTTCTGCCAACATCCCCGAACACTGGCACTACATCAGCTTCGGCCTCAGCGACCTCTATGGTGACAGCAGAGTCCATGAGTGAGTGTGTGCCACTTGCCTACCCTTCACCTGCCTGTTCCTTAGCCTTGAACCTTTTCTCTGAGGTTTTCCTGAGTAGGGATGATGATGTCATAGTCCTGTGGGGTTGGTACCTCTGAGTGTCTGTCCTCTGCCTATATCTCCTTGTGCCAACGTGGTCCAGGTCAGCACCGGAGCTCTGCTTACCTGGTGCAGGAAAGTGTCGATGATGAGCTAGAGTTCTAAAACTACCAGGTTTTTCCAAGCTTGCTCTGGTGTTTGAGCTCAGAGGACAGGCAGCATAGCTATGATTCAGAATTTGTGTTGATGCTTTTAAGTCTACTTCTTCTCTCCCCCCTTCCCCCCTCCGCTAGCTTATTATGAAAAATGTTAAACATAAAGCGAAGTTGAAGAATTTCATAGTGAATACTCATATACCCATTACCTAAATTTTACCATTAACATTTTACTCTACTTGCTTCATCACGAATATATCCATCTCTATAGCCATCTCTGTCCCTCCATCCATTTTACCTACTTCCTCTTTGAAACAGATTCATGGATTCTTGTTTAATTTAGTGCTCAAAGCTGAGGTAAGAAAGGTGAGCGTTCTACCTTCTAGCATAAGTGCTAAGAGGTGTTAAATTGGAATTATGGCAAGTGAATTTCTGGCAACATTCTTCTTCCATTGTCTTTTGTCTTCTCATTCAGTGAAAAAAGGCCAGAAGCATTGGTTCATTTATTCAGCATACATTCATCAAGCACCTATTTTGTAACAGATACAGAACATCATAATAAATGTGTTGGGAATAAAATCCCGAGACATAATTCTTGTATTGAGCTCCTGTTCTCGAAGGGAAGGAAGCTTAAAGAGATGGTTATAGTACTGAGTAATAAATGCTACAATGGAACATGCTCTGGGAGCAGAGTGGAGCGAGTGACTGTTAATCAGCCTGTGGGATCAGAAGCTCCAGGAAGGAGGTGAAGTTTGAGAGGAATCTTGTAAGAAGGGGGCTGGGCTGAGACCTGCACCTGACACTTTAGGACACCAACATTCACTTTGAGGACTGAGAGAGGCTTTAAAAATCTTCTAGCCCCATGTTTCCAAACTTGTAGTGCTGCCTACATAATTTTTGCCACCTCTAGAATATTATCTGCTGTGTCTTCTCTGTAAACTAACCCTCCTTTTAAAAATTGATATAAATAAATCTTTAAAAGTTAAATCACTATCATATATGGAAACCAATATCATTTGTTATCAATTAAAGGTAGTTATGGAAATAAACACAGTAATAACAAATGAATGTTATTAAATTCTAGCTTAATACTGTGGCCTGTCATAGAATATTCTAAGCCTGAAGCCACCTTTCTCTTTGTTCAAGAGATTAGCAAGAAATATGAGAGAGGTATTAAAAAAATATGTTAAGCCCAGCCCGTGTGACTCAGAGGTGGAGCGTCGACCTATGAACCAGGAGGTCATGGTTCAATTCCCGGTCAGGGCACATGCCTGGGTTACAGGCTCGATCCCCAATGTGGGGTGTTCAGGGGCATCCGATCAATTATTATTCTCTCTCAGCATTGATGTTTCTATCTTTCTATCCCTCTCCCTTCCTCCCTGAAATCAATAAAAAAATATTTAAGGAAAAAAAAGATATGCTAATACCGAATGGAACCTGGCACCAGACATGATTAGAAAAACTGAAAGAGAATTGAAAAGGGAACTTTTTTAAAAAGTGTGACTCAGTGTTATTTATTGTCACAGATAAATAGGGAACACTGATGTAGCCCACCTCCCTTAGCTGTACAGGTGAGGTAAGTCCAGCAGCCTGCCAAAGGCCATACGGCAAGCTAAGGCGAGCAGCAGGATCTCCTGACATCCCCGCTGTTCTATGCTCTCTCTCATGACTGGGAAGAAAGGAGTGTATGGGGCATTTGTCTTTAAGATGATGATACAAGCAAACTTTAAAAAAAAAAAAAAAAAAAAAAAATATATATATATATATATGTATATATTGATTTCAGAGAGGAAGGGAGAGGGAGAGAGAGATAGAAACATCAATGAGGAGAGAGAATCATTGATTGACTGCCTCCTGCACGCCTCCTACTGGGGATCGAGCCAGCAACCCCGGGCATGTGCCCTTGACCAGAATCGAACCTGGGACCCTTTGACCCGCAGGCCTATGCTCTATCCACTGAGCCAAACCAGCTAGGGCTGCCTTTCCATTTTAATTAATCCACAGCATATATTAAATGTCTACTGGGTACCTCCTCCCATTAATATTTTTCCTTCTCCTCACAACTTGTTGAGGGTAGACAAGCAGAAGCCCTGCATTTCTTCTTGCCCCTGGCATGCTTGCTTTGGGGGCAGGAGAGGAGCCCCATCCTGGTATCCCTAAAAAAGGGTGAAGAGTAAGCTGATTGGATGAGCCCTCAGATGGCTAGTTCCATCCAAGTTTTTTCCCTATTTACATTCATGAAAGGAAACAGGACAAGAGAGCACTTGTTTGGATTAAAAGGTTCTCAAGAGGCTGTTTCTGAAGTTGGAGAGATGGAACAAGTTCCAGCTCGGGGCAGCCGCAGGGGAGAATGGAGTGCTTTTCTGCGGACCCTAAGGCTACTCCCAACTGACTTCAGCAGCAGAGACTGTCCTGTTGCTCTTGCCTGGACTTGGGAGGTGTGAGACAGCTGAACGTCAGCTGCCAAATGCTTGTCGGAAGCTTGCAGCTCTGGCTTTTCCTTTGTGCCCAGGCAGCTGTGGACTGGACTGTAGAGATTTGTGGGGCCGTGCAAGAGGTGTTTCTCTGTGTGAGGATTTGGGGCTGCCCCTGGTGCTACAACCGGCCTAACCACAACGCACTCAGCTGTCTAGGTGTAGAGTATTTGTGATCTCAGGCAGACTTCCCTGATGAGATTCCACTGGGCAGGTCATCTGCTATACGCGTCGGCTGGTTCCAAAGACAGCTCTGTGTGGTGTTGGCCCAAAGGGTGGCAGCACCACAGGGTAGAGCCCACACCTCCTCTACTGCATGGTTGATGTGGGCTCTCCGCCACAAACGCTGGCTTCTCGGCAGGGATGTCCATGGAGTTTGGAGTTGTTCTTGCCCCCCTTGGGGACTGGAATTGCTGGTGACTGGTTTTCTATGGCTGCCTCAGGTTTTGCCTTTTCCCCACAGGTGCCTTGCAGCTGGGCTCTGCATGGAATGAGTTATTTATTAAAACACTGGATACAGATTAACTTTTTCACTTGTTGTTTTGTGTGGTCTTGGTCCTCTACAGATGGGAAATGCTAATTTCCTTCTTACAAGCTTAGTTTGCAGGAACTTTTTGTGCCATTTCATCCCCTAGGGTTTCCAGTGGAAATCCTGCCTTTGCCATAACACACCTGCCCTGAGAGCATGGTTTCCTCTCTGGTTGGGCATTTGCTTTCATCCCAGAGCTCTCATGAGGCTAACAACTGGACTGCTTCTGTAAGCACACACTGAGGGCAGGTCCCCGCCCTTCCCCCAGCTGGGCACAGCAGGCTGAGGAAGTGCCGTGTAGGCCAGTGATGGCGAACCTGACATGGGTGTCAGAGGTGACACGTGAACTCATTTTTTTGGTTGATTTTTCTTTGTTAAATGGCATTTAAATATATAAAATAAATATCAAAAATATAAATCTTTGTTTTACTATGGTGGCAAATATCAAAAAATTTCTATATGTGACACGGCACCAGAGTTAAGTTAGGATTTTTCAAAATGCTGACACGCCGAGCTCAAAAGGTTCGCCATCACTGGTGTAGGCTCATTGGAGGGCAGGCCTCCCTGAAGCTTTGGTCCCACTGCCTTTCCCTCAGAGGTGTTTAGTTTCAGGATGACTGTTGGTGTGACACGGTGACTGCTATCTGCTAAGGGCAGGGAATCTGGGCTCCCTGGAAAGAGCAGGGCACCCTTGGTTTTAGCCCAGGGTGGGAGTAGGGGCCAGCAGTGGGGCTAGAGCTCTTTCTGAAGCTGAAACCACCACTCTGGGTCGGATTTCAGGCCTCAGATCTCTGCTTTTGAAATGTTGAGACTTTCTTTTCTTTGGTAATCACAGGAACACCTAAGGCATTGTGGGGTTCCAGCAGATCTGTGCAGATGTGTGGTTTCATCCTTTATCAAGCATTTCATTTGCAGCATAGATTAGCTCTTCCTCCATGGGGTAGTGATTCCAAATTGTCCCCTCAGCACTAAGGGGACAGTGGGAAGAGGTTCCTTGAGCTGGCCCAGTCAAACTCACTTTAAAAAGTCTTAGAGGACACCGTAGCCAGTTTGGCTCAGTGGATAGAGCGTCAGCCTGCGGACTGAAGGGTCCCGGGTTTGATTCTGGTCAAGGGCATATGCCCAGGTTGTTGGACTGTGCAGCACACCCCACCAGCAAAGCTATGTCAAGTTCCCAATACGAGCAGAATGTTGGAGAAGATGATATGTTGGGGTTGGGAGACAATGAGAAGTCATATACCTAACTCCTGTCCCTGGAAACCCCAACATCTATTTGGTAAGAAATGGCAGTGGCTGGGAAAGAAGATAGTGTGGATTGGGGCTGGAAACAGCTTTTGGCTTTATCTGACTTCTGTGGCTTTGAAGCTGCTTCTCTTACCCTGTGATCTTCAGTGCTTCAAGAGACTTAAAAAATGTAATAATAGCAAACAGTTTTTACTGTGTGCAAGCACTATTCTTAGTATTTTATATGAACTCATTTTATCTTCACTATCTTTATGGGGTAGGGATTATTATTATTTTCCAAGGAAACTGAGGCACAAAGATGTTGAGGAACTTATATGCTTAGCTAGTGAGTGCTGGAGCTGAGCTATAAACTCAGGGACTCCTGCTCTAGTAGTCCTCACCCTTCCCCTTGCCTTCCCTTCTCTTCCTTTCCCTTTCCCTCCCCCTTCCCCTTTCCCTTCTCCTTCCTCTTCCCCTTCCCCTTCCCTTTCCTTTCCTCTTCCCCTTCCCCTTCCCCTTCCCCTTCCCCTCGTTTGGAAGGTTGTCTGGAAGGACGTC